AAGCTTCTTTGAAGTAAAAGAATATAAATTTAAATCTTATAAATTAAATAAATAGGAGAATATACAGAAGCTGTTCACAGCTTATATATCATTAGCTAATAGCTACCTATTAATGATTAATGTTGCGACTTGGGTTGGAAGCGTTAACTTTAACTAACTACCATTGATGCGTGTGAAACTGATTATGTCCTAACATGACTCAGTCGTAAATAATAATTAAAGATGTTAAACAATTCTTGATAAATATTAAGGGGTTTTTTTTTTTTTTTTTTCATTTTGTGTTTTTAGGACATAGGATAAAAATATATTTATTGTAATTTTTTTATCATTAATTGTGCATTAATTTATATAAAAAATAAAAAAATAACATTAATTTTAAAATCTATGATATATGAATATTTTTTATTAAACGATTGATAAGATTAATATCAATTTTTAATTTTACTATGTGTATAAATAATAAAAAGATATAATAAATAGATCATTACTCTATACTCTAAGGATATAGAATAGAAAAACCCAATTAAGAATATTTCACTTAGAATTAATTTTTCTTCGCATTTTCTTTGTATTTTTGATTCTTTATTAAAAAAACAAAATTATACCCTTGAGACGTGTGTTATCATACAACGTATGGAAATGCATGCCCTTAATTTGCGGTATGGGCACATGGGAGGAAACTTTGTTAAACACGTAGAAATAGAATCACTTTCATTTTAAAGTCTTGTTTTGGTAATCATAATCATCAACTTTGAATTATCTGTGTATTTTGGTCATAGTTAATTGATTTTCAAGGAACAAAAGGTATATTTGCTCGGAAATTTCTGCAATTTCTTTCTTTTCTTCAAGGAAATGATCGAAGATCCGAGAAAAAGGTTCCTTGGTCGAAACGAAACAAGTGGATATACTATGAGTCACATGGTTTGAGTTCTTCAATTCTGGAGATCTTCTACAACCTTCCTGTGGATCGTTTTCTGGGGTTGAGGAAAATTGTTAATCCATTTCTCCATGTTAGACTTGCACTTTAACTGTAGATTTCCTAGTTGTGAGGCGAACAGCTAAGCAAGGAATATTATAATTGAAAAGGATAATACTGTAGAAATAATTTTTTAATATTATTTTTTAATACAATTTTTATCTGTCATTAAATGAGTAAATACATTTAATATCATGAGTATTACATGAATTAAAAAATAAATTATTTAAATAATATATCAAATTGTACCAAAAAATAATTTAAAAAATTTATCTTAAAGTCATTTCTCAATTTGAAAATGATTCAATGATTAGATTTGTCAACAATGTAACATGTTTGTTGTTTTTATCACTTTTTTCCACCAAATAGGGCGAGTGTGAATTTATATGCATTCATTGTTTAATATTATTTTGAATTTTATTAGCGAACGTTGTCAACTTATCATTTTATATTATAATACGATGAGTTCTTTTCAAAGTCCTAAGTTATATCCTTCAAGTAAATGAGTATCCCATGTTTCAAACTGATTTTACAAGGGGCTAACTAATCACCTTGAGGCTTCATCTACACGTGGGTTCAATGAGCTCACATGGCAAATTGGCAGTGGTTTTCTGCGCCAATACGTCATGCATCCTTTTCATCTACCAAATTACCAAAAAGCATCGGTCTTAAACAAAACTGTATATGCTTTTGATCAAGTGAAAACGTGACCGATTGAGATATTGGAACTAATTAACATGGCTAAGAAAATGCATCACCGAAATATACTAGGAAATCACATTCCACATATTGATCAGTCTATATCTTCCACCAATTGGATAATGATATTAATTCAATCATCTTTCGTAACTCAGTGAAATAAAAACAGTGAATGCATGTGCGAAGAAAGTAAGTCGAATTTGTTAGAAGAAAGAATTAAGAAAACATGAAGAACCAAACCAAGTATGCAAGATTTCAGAGTTTAAACATTCTTTACAGTAGGGTTTCTTCTTCTTTTTTTTTCTTTTTTTTTTTTTGGCTCTTCTTGAATTTGAGCTTTACTGTATTCTTTTGAATCTTGTAATCTTCAGACAATTGCAGAGATGGGTTTGTGCGGAATAATACAGCCCTTAATCTCTCATACACCTTGATGTCATGAAGAAGCATGAAATGCTCACTGAGTTTCTTGCTCACCTCATTTTCATCAATTGAAGTTGGCTCAATGCTAATTACTGGATGATATTGAGGGCACAGTTCCTCTTCTTCTCTTGTTATTTGACTTCTGCATTTCACTTGTTGGATTTAATGCCCTCTTGTTCAAGAGACAACTTCAAAAAAGCCTGCAGGATGCATATCATTCTTAAACAGTGACTTCATAGTCATACAACAGTCTCCTGTCAAAAAATAGCAGTTAGTTGGATGATAGCAAAAAAACTATATTAACATTATCTAGCAGCTACAAAACCATACATGGTAAGCATCGCTGACGCGTGACATCCCTTTGGTGTATTGGATACAAACAATGGGTAAGCTGTCAAAGGAAGTGCCCTAGCTGTGTAGGAGAACATTATAACACCTCTGAGCTATTTAGTTTCGTCTCTTGGTCTTTGAACCTTTTAGGACTCATGGACTAGCAATGTGGTTGAGTGGAATGCAAGTCGTGTCCCTCTAAAGTGTTGCAAACGTAAAATAGGTGAAAGAAATGGCCAGATTGTCACTACTAGAATAATGAATATTTCGGTCAGATGTTGAAGGATGAGTTGCATCTTAAAATACCAAAGAGCATAAATAAAAATAATTAAGCGTAACCTTTTAACATTATCTGAGGAGCCTCTGTTTCTAACAACAGCATTTAACAAGCTTTCAAGAAAGTTGAAATGATGAACTACAATGAGTAAAGTGCAAATACAGCAAACTGCCACATGATGAAATAAAGACTGCTTTTCTCATGCTAGCAACCCTTGCAAATATACCTGTTATGTTTCCAAGAAAGGTGAGGGGGAAAAGAGAAAATGACCAATGACCATGCTCTGAGCATAAATTAACGTTAATATCAGAAAGATTAAGCACTACAAATACTAACTTTTCATGAATTCAATTTTGGCATGGTTTTCAAGAAAAAAAAATGATAATAGAAAATTATTTTCAAGAAAAGAACATAAGAAAAAAAAAAGAAGATCCTGATTCTTCTCGAAATTTCCTTCCTAGAATTAGCAACAATGTTAAACAAATAAAATTGCAATCAGATGCTGCAAATGAAACAAATAACATAGCTAGCACCAAAATATATCTCATGACACCATAAATCCAAATACATTTAAATAATGGAACAAAACATATCAACTCATACCTTGTAAGTTGACAATATTGTTGATTTGTAAAACCTCATTTTCTTAACTTCCTAGGAAACTTTCATTTCTAGCTTCTTTTCAGTAGCATGTCTGTATTGCATGTTGGAAAGAGGATTGGAGAATTACAAACTGCAATGCAGGAAAAAAAATTTTAAAGGATGGTACAGGACAAAAGCAGGGTTTTTACCCCAGAATAATGTCTTTGAAAACGGCTAACAAGGAAAGCAGTCCATGTTTTACTATAGAATGAATTGAACACACTATCTTTACAGATTTGTAACATCTCTTTCAAGGACTTAATATTGGTCTCTGGATCTGCAAGCAGTGCCATTCCAAGCTCAACCAGCTTATGCATTTTTCTCTCAAATGCTTCTTCAGCTGTAAGGTCTTCTTTCACCTCTGCCTAAACAAAGGGCATTGTTTGAACTTTGAAAAAAAAATGAGAAAGAATGAAAATAAAAGATCAGTACACACTTATTGTCTAC